AAAATATACTCTCATAACACAACAAAAAAAATAGACTATTTTAAGGTAACAATAAATAAACAAAAATTGTCATGCCGTAAAGAGAGATAATTCAGGGATTATTTACTTATCATTATGTTCGGCCAGGTCTAAGGCATTTGCCAGGTGCCAACCCATAGTGCCATCTTCTGGGCATCCACCTAGGGGATGACCTTGCAGAGGGTGCAGAGGACCCTGGGGTTGATCCTGGGGTAGACCTTGGGGTTGATTCTGGGGCAGACCCTGGATTAGACCTTGGTGTATACCCTGGTGTAGACCCTCGTGTAGACCCTGGGGTGTGCACTTGCAGTGAGATGAGGATGTCTGGCCATAAATCCCTTGAACCAGTCTTCTCCAGCTCCTTTTTTTTACTTTCCAAGCTTTGGGGATATTAGGAATGTTGTTGGCTTCTGCTAATTGGGCAGCAAATTTTCTAATATCAATTGCAGTGAGACCATATCCCATATGGCCACATTCAAGTACGTAACCTGCTAGAGAATCCTCAAGTTCTTTTGAAAAAACTTGCCTCGTAACATAATTTGGCGACAGTGACAATCTGTCTAAATCTTCCACATCTTTTCTTTCTTGACATATCGCATCAGTGTAGTATAGTCTAATTGATGCTTTTTCGCAGCACTTCTTATTTTCATCCCTGAACGAACCTGAAATGGAAAGCAGAATTTTTGTTTATGCTGGCATTTAAAAAAGTAAACACAGCAATGTATTATGAGGTTATTTTGGACTCACATCTAGCAGTGCATTTTTCATTGCCTGTGGGGAGAAAGCCCCTTTGTGGTCTTCCTTGGCATTGAGCGTGGCATGTTGGAGTCGAGACAGCCTGAAAATTTCAGAGATTACTATTCTTTTCATGGTGACATATTGTCTAGGGTGCACCAAAGGAAAGGTGAGCAAAAGCGTAACGATTCGGGTCGCGATTATGGCAACAAAAAAGAGTGAAAGCACAAAACTCAAAAAAATGGGTGGCTCATGGGACCCCAGGTCAAAGTGACTCATGGGTCCCCGAAGTTATATTGTGCACAGAGGTTAAGGGTTAGGGCTGTGGGACCGGTGTCAAATTGAAGGCCATAAAGTAGGGTAAGGGGCCCAGTAGTCGACAGTTTAAGAGCAAGGCTTTTCAAAAGTGCGTACAGCGGAGCGTGGGTGTACGGTAGCGTCAAGGAAAATTTCGGGGGTGTAGTGGACGGATTAAACTTAATGCCCCATGGGTCGAAAATGGAAATAAATACACTTTTGTACACAAAAATGTATAGCAAAAAACAGTGTTCATTGGCCCAGTAGTCGACACTGCCTGGCCCAGTAGTCGACACTCTGTCATTTTACCCGTATTGCCAAGTCTGACGAGTCCCTGCAGCCTGGCTAGCCTGCCTATGCCTCTCGGTCGTCTTTTTGGCCATCAGGGTGTCCTTCTCAGCCCTCTTTGCGAGGTGCTGTTCGGCTTTTTCGGCCTCCAGGCGACCTTATGTGAAATATGGTAAAAAACGATTTTTTCTAGCCATAAAAAGTGCGTTTTTTGGCTACAGATCGGAAAACAATTTTCATAGCGCAATTTGTCTAAAATGAAACAGCTCTGTCGCGTCAAAGCACCCCTAATAATGTATAGGACGACACGATGTGACATACAAAAACCAGGGAGGGGAGTGCCGGCAATAGCTTGCTAATTAAACCTTAGTCAACTAAAATGTCTTGTGGGCAAGCTGAAGATGTTATCGCACAGCGTATCGACTCCGGAGTTATCCCCTTATATAAATTCCACGCCGAACCGCATATAGCCGTTCCCGGGATTGTGCCTACGGGAGCCCAGGGGGGTGAAAAGTGTCAATTTCCCTCAATGACCCAACTTCGAACCCTTAGAGAGGGGTTAAAGGTCAGACATTGAACCAGAATGGACTGTTTCGCCAGTCTTCGGATATCTTGAAGTACTTTATTCCAGGTATACTTGTTCAGTCTCAGGTTTTCACTCCACCCTAGCGGCCAGCCGCTCGGACTGCGGCGGTGAAATTGGGGTTCCACCCCTCCCCCTCCCCTTGTGCCTGTTAACACTTCTCTCAAGCAACCAGGGCACATTCCCAGAGAAATGCTTTGCAAAAAATGGGGCACTGAACGCAAACTATCATTCGGCACAGTATTGACACCTGGTGCTTTACAGATGTCATTATGATGTATTACTAACAAGAAAATAGAAGAGACACGATCCCAACAACATTTCACGTTGACAAAGCGCCCTAGTTGTCGGAATAAGCCCGTATGAAGGGAGCACACACTCAAAATAAAGTAAGTGTCGACTACTGGAACAGATGTCTTTTTCTGGCCCAGTAGTCGACACCTCCATTATTTACGCCCCTGACCAAAATTTTCGAAAACCTAAATGGAGAAAGATAAAACATATCTTTGACAACAACACAAACGTCCTTCGGAACCACTCGGGTGAGTGGCAGCCTCACAGAACCTTCCGAGCGAACACCTGCCCACTACTCCGGAGCTAAGAAATTATGTCTCGATGTGACGCGACGAGCAGTCTTCTGTGCGAAGCGCTCCCAACCGGCTCCCGGAGGTGGCACGGAATCGGCAATGGGTTCATTATAATCTCAATAGAGCGCGCTACAACCCGGAAAAACGCGCGAGACTCTAACGTTAACTTCTTCTCGGGAAATCGATCCCAAAGTTGAAAGTGTCGACTACTGGTGTACTGTCGACTACTGGTCCCCTTACCCTACTCGACAACGGGAAACCAAGTCCCTGAACGAAAATTAAAATTGAATGGGCGAAAGCAAGCATGCTATTTCATTAAAAAATTTACCTTACCTGAAAATATGGGAATGTCCAAATTCGAACTCCACTCACGCCGCCACCCGCCTCACCCGGCCGACCGCCTTCTCGCTAACAACAACATACCTGGCAGGGCGCCGTAACTTAACGTAACGCTGTTACGTTACAAATTTTTTCAGTACCAAAATATTTCGTTCCCTTCACCGTTTCGGTACAGTAACTTGTAACGTAACGGCCTCGTGATCCATATTGTTACGTTTCTGTACCTC